AATGGCTGATATACCTCAGACAGAGGTTACAGACTAGGGATGCACCAATTCAGGTATTTCTGTATCGATATTTTATCTTCTGTACTCGCCGATCCCAAATATCGATACCGGAAGTCACATTCAGGAAGCCAGGCAGCGTGTAATGACTCACCACCTGGCTTCCTAATTAGCCGGGAAGCCGGGCGGCCTGTAAAGACTTTTACTAGGTGAAGATAAAGCATGGAGCCGGCTTTCTGGCCAATAAGGAAGCCGGTCACCATGTAATTACAGCGCCCGGCTTCCTGATTGGCCGGGAAGCCGGTTCCATGCTCCCTCGTCATGAGGTGACGAGGGAGCATGGAGCACGCTTCGCGGCCAATCAGATAGCCTAGTGCCGCATCATTAAATGGTGCCAGGCTTCCTGATTGGCTAGCTTCCCGACCAATCAGGAAGCCAGGCAGCGAGTTATTGCAAGTATCGGGCTAGGCATAGGAGCATTTGGGCAAGTACGAGTACTCGCCCAAATACTCGGCATCGGCACCAATACTAGTATCGGTATCAATGCATACCTATTACAGACCACAATAGTCCTCTAGGTAGCAGATGCATAAAGATGGCCCATGATGCTGTAATAGGCGAGCACTGCAGGGACCAGGTGCGGGTGGCCGTCGCGGTCATGCGCAGGCGCGGCGGGGATCGATAGCCCCAGCTCTCCGTGGGAACGCGGTGACGTCTGGGGAACGTCTCCGTCGTCGCCTCGCGCAGGCGCGTCGCGGTCCTCCTTCATCCCACACCTCAGGGCCGTCTAGGTCGGGCGCATGCGCGCCGGGAAGCTCCGCCCCTCCAAGACGCAGCTCTCGGCATAAAGCCGAGTCACTGTAATTGATCGGCGTCTTTCCGTTGATCGTGGAAGGACGCTGATCAATCCAGCGTTCCCTCGCCTCAACCCCACCAGACTCAACTCGCCCTCTGAAGACTGCCACCACCAGCAGAACCGCAAGTAATCTGGGCTAGGCAAACTAAAGCCCCAGGTCTCCTATGCATAGCAATATAGCACTATCTGCATTGCTCTCAGCTGTCACTGTACCTTAAACTACCTGAACTATTGCATTGCTTTCAGCTGTTCACTGTGCCTTAAACCTATCTGAACTATTTGCATTGCTCTCAGCTGTCACTGTACCTTAAACTACCTGAACTATTGCATTGCTCTCAGCTGTCACTGTGCCTTAAACCTATCTGAACTATTGCATTTCTCTCAGCTGTTCACTGTGCCTTAAACTACCTGAACTATTGTATTTCTCTCAGCTGTTCACTGTGCCTTAAACCTATCTGAACTATTGCATTGCTCCCATCAGTAGTTGTACACTCCAACCGGTCGTGCATTACTGCCAAGCAATACCCATTCGTGTGCGGGTATTTCCCCATTTCCTACTGTGTATACGGGGCGTGATGTACCGCAGCCTCCCAAACGCCTAAGCACATACAAAACTGGGCATTCCAGGGAGGAGCTGCTATTCTGATTCCCGTTCCTTAACCCTCTCCATTCCGCAGTTGAGATCCATAGAGGGTATTCGGCCCTCTCCCGAGGCGAGCATTACAGATGCACAGCTCTGCGGACTGGACCGAAATATAGCAATAGCCTGCACCTGCAGAGCATTGCTGCCAAATAGATGAGGCTGGGTGCTCCCTCCAGTCCTCTGCAAGCTGCTCTGGGACAAAATCCTCCCTTGCTTCTGTTCTGCCTCTGGCTCAGAATGTTCCTCCTCTCCAATAGGTGACACCTACAGGTGGTCTTCCACCTCTTGTTTTCACCCCCTCCTCCTCCTTGCCGCACACACACAGATAATCCTAAAAACCTTTTGGGTGCTGCTGTGTTTTTTGAAGCAAAGCTAAATGTAACAGTTACAAAATTAATGACACATCTAAGTCATGTGATGCCGGATTACCATTTGGCTGACGCTGTCTGTGAAAACCGCACTGTTCTGTACCATGCAGCTCATACAGATTACGGGAATCTCCCAAACATTTGTATCAGAGAATTCATATTTTCTCATGTCACCCTCAAACTTGCATAGGGAGGACCCCCTGCCTGCTCTCCTGTAAGGGTTTCCGCGGACGTCTGGGTGGAAGGCACCAGGAAATGCATCACCGCCGTCACGCCTCCTCACTATGACGCCGGCCAATGCGTTCCACCCCTATTTTTCTCATGTCACCCTCAAACTTGCATAGGGAGGACCCCTGCCTGCTCTCCTGTAAGGGTTTCCGCGGACGTCTGGGTGGAACGCACCAGGAAATGCATCACCGCCGTCACGCCTCCTCACTATGACGCCGGCCAATGCGTTCCACCCAGGAACGCGGAAGCGGCACCACCGGTTCCGTCCGGTTCCCGCGCTCGCGGGCTATTTAAACACTCCTGATGGGTTAGCAAGGCGTTCCACTATTGAGGGTCGAACGCCTTGCTAACCCTCCATCCGAACCAGCCATCCTAGAGCACTGAACCTCCTTGATGCCAGGATGTCTTATCCCATCCACAGGCTGACAGGAGGATCTACTCCAGCCACCACTCTGAGATCTGCAATCAGCAAAACTGCAAGTACTCTGCAAGTATAGCTGCAGACCATATGTTAATGCATTGCTCCAACTGATGTTGCATTTGGGAACCCATTGACTTTAATCACTGCTGGTGTATTTTGTGCCGAGACACCCTGTGCATTACGATTGCTTATCCGTAGTATCAACTGCTTACTTGAGGACTCACAATTAACTTCTAATATTGCTTTGATGGATGATGCTATCTAGTTATTACCTGTCCTAAGTTACGTGATTCATATGTACTTGCCCTGTTGTGGCCTATGAAGTAATAGCCACTACTGTGCCCACTGATAAGTTATACGGTATATGATGCACGAACCTCTAACTCACCGTTAGATTGTGAGTGACGCCAGAGGTTCAAGCCTGAATTACCGTCACACCACCCATCCTGAGCCCAACTCACCTTAAACTCCGTAGCTGAGATCCAGAATTATATACTCACTGAGACCGGGCGTGACATCTACGGTATGTTTTTATAAATGTTGTGCTTTGTTGTTTGCCCCCCATGGTATTGAAGATCTCCCTGCCCTATCCTGACAATAGCTTGCCTATGAGGTATGAAAATTGCCAGAATTTGGGTTTCAGGAATTTCAAATAGGATTCAATGGACACCAAATGGAACCTGGACAGATTTCCTCATCCCTACTTCTGGGGCCTCACACATCCATTTAGGGGTCCAACCCTCTACAGCTCCTTCCCAGGCCGGGGTGTTATGTTTCCCACCTTTGGGATAGCTTTGGTGTAGCTGCTGGTTCCAGAGAATAGGTGTTGGTGGAGCGCTGGACCCTTGCTAAAGGAGAGTTGAGGGAAATGGTTTTCACAAGGTAGCTCCCTGCTTCCCACCAGGCCCAGATGGGATTGTAAGTAAAGTAAAAGGACGAGAGCACCACAGAGGTTCAAAATGAGTCCAGCCGGTCACTATTAGTATTATATTCTATACTGAAGTGACTGGAGTGAGGCCCAATGCAAGCTGCTCAATACCAACAACTCAACCTGATCCCAACATATCCAAGGCTTTACCTTCTCTTCTATTTCCAGCTCAGATGAAGGGGGATCGCTGAGTGTGTTGATGAAGGGGGATAGGTGAGAGTGTTGATGGAGGGGGATCGGTGAGTGTGTTGATGAAGGGGGATCGGTGAGTGTGTTGAGAGGTTCTAGGTGTCTCGGGGTAACCATCAGAAGCTCCAGACTCACCGGATCTTACGTAGCAATGCAGATCCACTTGACCACATCAGATAGCCACTGATGTACCAGACCGTCCAGATGGATGCAGATCCTCAATCCAGGAAAGACACCGACCATGCTCTGAAGCCCACATAGTTCCTGGGTGCTTCAAGAGCCTGCACTGGTCCTGGTTCTTTCCTCTTTCCATCTCTCAGGCCTCCCCCGTGTTGGAGGCCTCAGGGAAACCTTTTCCCTCACACCAGCCCATGCCCACCCCCAGCCCTCGGCCTAGCCTGGGGGGCAGGCTGAACAGGACCCAGCCCTAGTCCATGGCTGGTCCTGGCGAGAGAGCGAGCACATGGCAGCTCCCACTAATATATGTAGTCTATCCCAGCATGCACCACGGGCTCTTCCTCTATCGGCATCACAGGCCTCCTCCATGTTGGAGGCCTCAGGGAAACCTTTTCCCCTCACACCAGCCCATCCCCACCCCCAGGCCTCAGCCTAGGGGGCAGGTTGAACAGGACCCAGCCCTATTCCATCGCTGGTCCTAGACTAGTCTGAGCACATGGCAGATCCCACCAGTATCCCAGCATCACCACTGGCTGAGAGAAGCCCAGTGATTGGCTGCTGTACTGTACATACACTACAGTGCCTCTCATTGGCTGTCCCACAATATGACGGAGTCACACTTCGCCTAGAGGGGTACAGGCAATGCCAGACACCTGGGATTAACCATATAATTGCCACTACAAATCCAGCCAGGCCGAGTACAGTCCCGGCAATCACCAAATGTCTTGTAGTCACATCACTGAAGGTGACGGGGGCTATACTAGGTCGGCTTCAATGGGTCAGTTCATCTGGAAGAGATCTTTGTGTTGGGAGTTAGAGAATCACAATATGATATTATTACTCTGAGCTCTTTTAGTGACATTATTCCAGGAAGATGATAAATCCGCCCTCAGCATGAACAGCGAGATGTAAATGTAGAATTCATTGTCTGGCATCACTCTATAGTGTATATAAAGAGGATCTGATCGGCTGTATCTCATCACTGGCACACAGACCCATCACCTGCCCTGTGCTGTGTCATGCTGCCTGACCCTGAGCTCTATGGACCCCTCCTCATCTCATGTCTTATATTGGGGTTCTATTATCTGGCATTATTATATAAGGATATCATACCCTCAGATCCCTCAGCTTCAGCCTCCTGTCACCCGTCTATATTGCTGCTGTGTGGGTTTCTCCTGTGTGTGACACCTTGTATGTCGGAGATCCAGAGACCTTCCCCGGCCTGTCATCTGTATCTTGTTGAAGCCGTTGATGATTATGAATATGTGAAGGACGGAGACATCATCATTGGAGGAGTTTTCACTGTGAACCATTTTATGACGGGAATGAAGCAAAGAAAAGATTATGTAAACAGTAACATGTTATGTCTGAGGTAAGCAGCATTGGGGTTATAATGACATCAGACAGAGGGAAGTGTACGGGGTGCAGCTCCAGAGAAGTCACACAATCACACAGACACAATTCTTCGTATCACCTGTATTCTGATCTGCAAGAGGCTCCAAAACCTGAGGCCTGAAAATGGGGTAAAGAATAAGAAAATGAAACGATTCTTTGTAAATAGGAATGTATCTGTATAATACACATATGTTCTGTCCTGTAAAGATTTAATAGACACAGGTACTAGTTATCGGCACCGACCTCTGCTGGACCAAGAGGTCAAACAACCCCCGAAATACACAACTACGTCCCCCCTCATTGTCTAATCCCGGGGTCCCTGGGACACATGTGACAATCCTGCTACACTATTATATTATAGAACAGATAACATTAGGCTGGAACTAGGACTTGGATACACATTGGTAGGGAGCATTTTCTCCTATACTATGTACTCTGACTGAAGCCGCGCTGTGTTTGCTTCTGTCCCGGAAACCTGATGTGTTGTTGATGGATATAAATACTGTAACTGAACTACTCAATAAGATATAAGATTGTAAAAGCCATTTCTTGTGTTCTCACTCAATTTAAATGTAAGTTGGTTAGTTTATATCCAGCCAGGTGGACACTTACCTTGTAGGTCAGTCTCAGTCACAATCAGATGGTAACCCATATGACCAGATTGGCGGTGCCATGGTAAGTCTGAACACTTTTACTTCCCATCTGTTCGGGATCTGGAATACCTGCGAGGGAACAAATGGTCCGTGTTCACCGTGTTCCTCGCCTCTTGATGCTGAGACCGGCAGGACTGAAAACCTGAACCTACCTTTATAAAATGTGTCACAATCTCCGTTATTGTCATCTTTCAATAAGAAAATACAACAATTGTATGGAAAAGTTCAGTCCACAGCGATCAGACACCCGCAGCTTATAATGTTTGCCAGCCAAGAAAAAAAGAGCAGCAAATGTTTCATCAAACATTCATTTGTAGCGAATAAATCACGTTTAAAACACACGCACCATGAACATTCACCGTCAGTGAGGGTTTGGTGAATGTCAGATTCCCGACATATGTCTTTCTGTTTTCTTAGGCTGCGTATATAATGTGTAGAGCTGTGTGCTTTGCTTGTGTTTGAGGTGGAGCAGATCACCCAGACTGTGGGAATGAGAGGGTTAATGTGTGTTTGTCAGTCCACCAGAGGTAAGTGGGGATGAGGTGCTGGACCACAACCTCTCTCTAGTGAAATAGGAGCAATATTTGGGCCTGATGGCTCGGTTCTGGCAGCTCTTCACCAAACGAGGGACCTTTCACAGGGAGGGGAGGCCCAGACGGAGAAATCCATGTGAAAGAAGACTAAAGAAGAGCACCAGGTCATTTTCTCACAAGTCCAAAAAACCTGGATTGGCTTTGCCATTTGTGATGCCATTTTGGAGTCTTGAGACAATGACCCGGAGCCCCTTCTAGTCTTCTTCCGCACGGAGTTCTTGATCATGTGCTCAGATTTACAATGTAACTACATCTTCCGCTAACAGTTTCCTTATTGACTCCTCTTGGGATTTAAATTATATTCAATAAAACTTTATTATTTCTCATGTTGTGCTAAAAAAACTATAGCTGTGAAACTCAATTGTTTAAAACCCTTTTTCCTTCCTCAGGCCCTTCCCCCCGTATTACCGATATTTTCTGACTCTCCGTTTCGCCATCGATGAAATCAATAAAGACCCGACAATCTTACCGAATGTGACTCTGGGATATCAGATGTACGATTCGTGTAATGACAATAGGAAAGCTGTGAAAAGCGTCTTACAGATCTTATCTGGACCCGGACAGACGGCGCCCAATTATTCCTGCAGGAAACGCGGCACGTTAGCCGGATTTATTGGGGACCAAAACTCTGAAAGCACAGCGAGGATAGCACAGCTACTGGCCCTGTATAGATACACTCAGGTACGGGGGATGGGGGTCTCTGTTATCACATTGATGATTAAAGTGGACCTGTCAGTAGATGTACAAACCTGCATGAAACAAATCCTGACGTGTCACAATGTTCAGCAACATCTCCCTCCACTTTATACCATTAGAAAGCCCTCCCTGAGCGCCAGTCAGTGACTTTGCTTAGGCTGAGATCATGTCAGCAGTCTGCCGCAGGCTGGGGGAAGCATTTCTCGGTGCTACTAGCTTTCAAGGGGAATCATTTGCTTTTGCTAATTTTTCTCAGCAAAGAAATTGGGGGGGAAAATTGTAAATTTTGACAACATTTAGAAAAAAACAAAATCCCTGTTCATGATGGAATCAAGTTCTGCTCATCCCAACATTCCTATTGAATGAGCCAGTTACGGGGTTCATCAGCTTGCCCCATTTTGCTTTGCTTCTCACAGTTTTAGGACCTGAATCTGTTATTTCATGTGATTGCAGCCAATTGCCTTGTGATTTTTGATTTGTGTCCTCTAAAAGATTACCTGTCCTCTTATTTGTGTGGCAGATACAGTTGTGCTCATAATTTGCCCCACCCGGCAGAGTTTGTAGGACATGGAATCATTATTGGATCGAACACATGTAAACTATTAGGAATCACAGAATAGCAAATCAAAGCAATACAATGGTCCTGTCTGTGTCCCCTTAGTTCCTAATCCTGTGTATTGCTTCCTACTTGGACACACACACACACGTGATGACTTGCAGTGCTTTATGATAGTTGAGAACGGGGCCCTTTATTTTCTCATGGAGGGAAGCTGGCCGTTCTTCTTTTTAAATCAGATAGTGTTTATTGATTTTACACATTTTAC